TTCATAGGCCCCTAAAACGGTGCCTCGTTGGAAGACAAGCCTCGTTGGAAGACAAGCCTCGTTTCCATTGAGGGAACTGCCTCGTTGGAAGACAAGCCAACACATTGTTCTCGGGATTTCAACGCCACGTATCAGCCTGACTGCTGCGTTTTGGCGATCGGGAATCATGCCATAACGTCATTTTTTGGATTTCAACGCAGCGAATCAGCATAACTGTTGCACCCGCATAATCTTGAATTCTTTTAAAACGCTATTTTCGGTATTTGGATCATGAAAATCCGTGGAGATCTCGCGTTTTTTGCAAAGAATGCGCGCAACGCTAAGGCGAGAGCCACATTTTGAAATGGAACAGCCCTCAATCCGTGTAACCCTTGCAAAGTTTTACAGAGAATGTGCGCGGCGCTAAGGCGAGAGCCACATTTTGGAAACCACCCGCCCTCAATCCGTGAAGCTCTGGCATTTTTTTCCAAGAATGTGCGCGGCGCTGAGGCGAGAGCCACATTTTGAAAACCGCCCGCCCTCAACCCGTGAAACTCTGGCATGTGTTTACAAATAATGTGCGCGGCGTTAAGGCGAGAGCCACATTTTGAAAACCAACCGCCCTCAATCCGTGAAACTCTTACAAGTTTTGAAAACGAATGCGCGCGGCGCTAAGGAGAGAGCCACATTTCATTTTGAAAACCACCCGCCCTCCATCTGTGAGCCTGTTGTCATTTTTTAAGCTTCGGAGTCATAGATGGTGAGGAAGTCTCAGGCGAAACGCCCGGCCCGCTCTAAAAACTTGCCTCGGGGTGCGACAGGGAGGAGTTATCTATAAGGAGAAGGACTGGAGGAGGAGGAGGACGAGGATGATGAGGAGGAGGAGGATGATCCGGAGGCGGAGGTGAAGGCGGAGGATGAGGAGGAGGATTTTTCTCCCCCTCCTCCTCCTCCCCCTCCTCCCCCTCCTCCTTCTCCTCCTTCTCCTCCTTCTCCCTCTCCCTCTCCAGCTCCTCTTCCTTCTCCTCCTCCTCCTGGTCCTCCTCCTCCTCCTCTTCCACCTCCTCCTCCCCTTCCTCCTCCTCCTCCTTTTCTTTGTCCTCCTCCTGCTCCTCCTCTTTCTCCTTCTCTCCTCCTCCTTCTCCTCCTTTTCCTCCTCCTCCTTCTCCTCCTCCTCCTCCTCCTCCTCCTCCCCCTTCTTCCCCGCTCCTGCTCCGCCGCGAGGACGGGGGGGGGGGGGCGGTCGCCCTCGCCGCGCGCAGGTCCGCGCAGGACGCCGAGGTGCCCGACGAGGCGCCTAGTGGTTGGCAGGGGGGTGCCTTTTTTCTCTCTTTCGCAGATGCGCCATGTCGGAAACTGGAACATGTACATCACCAGTGGCGGGCCGTTTTTCAGTCCCAGGACTTTTTGAGGGTCGGGGGCGACGCTGCGACGCTGGGGTGGTGAGGTGTATATGTTTTTTCCCCGGTGTCCCGGGGAAACAGCGAAACATGTATGGTACACAAGGGTCCCGTATACACCAGGATCCGCTCTCCAGTGCAAATTTCAATGCAGGGCCGGAACATGCGTCGGTGCATAGAGTTCGATTCCCTATGTTTCCCTCTTTCGCAGATGCGCCATGAGCCTCCCACCCATCCCTCGCACACCCCTTGGGGGGGGGTCCGACCCGCTGTTAGCATGATTCCAACAAAGCACGTTTGATCGATTTCCTGGCGATCGGAACGCTATGGATCATCACCATTTACTCATCATGCATGTTCGTAGTCTTCGTTCTTCTTCATCTTCCCGTTTCTTCTTCTCCCAAAGTCTTTTTGTAACGCCTTTACAAACAGGACTCCTTTTGTGGTGACATTATATATGGTTGTACTTATGGAGGATCTGCAGTTGCCTCCACAAGTCTAGTTCTTTTGTAGCAGCCTGTACAGCGGGATAGCTTTTTTTGGCGGCCTCACAAACGGGTTTAATTGTGGTGGATTTGCAGTGGCGGCACCTTGAGCCCAGGAAATGTATAGAGGAACACAGGAAAGCAGGACGACCATGAACAAATATGTGTTCCACGTGGAAAAATCATGAACAAAGCTCGGACAACCTGTGACTGTCGTTGTTGCTCTTGCGTAGACTTAAAAACCTTGTGTAGTGATCTTTACAAACGGATTCCTGTTGTGGCGACCTGGCAGAAGGATTTTAAGTGTGTCGGGCGCACACAGTACCAGTATGAATCGGGCATGGAAATTGCATGGTGGATTTTGTTGGGCAAATTCCCATGGGACTTCTGCACCTTGGGCGTTGTTCTAAATGTTAGGGTGGTTCGACCTGACTGGACCCGCCATCGTTTTCTATTTGAGCTTCAAAGCATGTTGGGCGCGTTGTTCCTGTTGGAGTTGGGCGCTTGCGTTCTCACTGCTGCGGCGCGCGATCCGTCCTCCTCTCGCTTCTCTCCACGCTTCACTGTTCGCTCCTCCTCCGTTGGCCCGGCTCGCCCCGTCTTCGCAGTTTCGCGCTTCGGCCCGCCTGACTGCGCCGCCAGATGTGGCGACCTCGCGCGTCCGCGGGACCCCGCCCAGCGGCCTCGTGGGGTCATCGGCTGGAGGCTCCCACAGCTTGCGTCGGTGACATTCTGGGGGCCCCATGCGGCCTCCTGAGGTCACAGGCTGGAGGTTACAGCTCAAGTCGGTGACCTCCTTGGGCCCTAAGCGGCGAGAAGCAGGGTTCTTCATTCAGACTTGCACGTGGGACATCGGTGGCGCTCGTCAAAAGTATGGGCGGTGCGCGGTGCAGTCGGCAGAGCAAAGCTGGCGCGCCCTTAGCGCGGCGCTGAAGACAACGAGCTGGCCCGCGGGGCCCCGTGTGTCCCGTGAGGCGCAGTGGGGTTGGACGCGTTGCCCCGTCTAGCTCTGCGCATCCTATAGGGTCGGGCCATGTGTGCCCCGCTGGAGGTCGCATCCCAACTCGCCTGGGCGTGTTCGTCGTTATGTTTTCGGGTTTGCTTCAGTCACCTGGCTCCAAAGAGCATCTCATAGCCGTCTGATTATCTATGATGACCCCTGTCAGGGCGAAGCGCTACTGTTCGCCGTGCCTTTTCAACCAGCCATCAACAACCTTATTACGTCCGCGCGACGTTTTTTTCTCTTCATACGCCTCTTCTGCGTGTTCGTGGGGGCCGAATTGTGGAGGATCTGTAGTGGCCTCCACAATCAGAATCGCGAATAGTGGACCGCTGGGCGCGACGCGCCGCCGCTTGGCAGCCTCCGCTGCACGACTGCACTGATAGGCATGATCTGTGTGTTCAACGTTTGTTTCATGACCCTATCTATAGTAACAGACCCACGTTGGAATCCAAGATGACCAATGAGTTCACGATGCCTCTAAGCCGTGAGCGTGAGGTGCTGGCATGTTTTTTTCCACAGCCAAAAAAGATGCGAATATGCACGTTTTGACTTTCAACTTTCACCCCGAGGGCGTCTTGGCCAGGATTGCCCCCCTGGTTGAGTTTGCTCTGGAGGCGATGGGGGGGAAAGGGTTTCGAGTGCGCCGCCCAAGGGTCACTCTTTAAGTGATGCTGTGGGTGCCTCGAGGCGCTCTCCCACCGATGCAGGCCGCGAGCCGCTCGGGGGACGAGGGCGCTGGCCACGCGGCATCCCGAGTGCTGCTGCAGAGGCCCTCGGCCTTAGTTCACGCTCGTGGATTTCACCATGATGACAACACATTTGTTTTCGGCCACGGGTTTCAACTGCAGGCGTCCAGATGCTTGCCACGAGGCGTGAAAACGTCCCGTGATACCTCAGACAGCTCTCGTGCCGCCGGCGATGCGATGCGATGCGAATTGAGTTCATTTGTGAGAATTGAATTCGCACGTTGAATTTGAGTGTGTGGATTTCCAGATTGATTTCGATTGTGCGGTTTTTCCCAACCGTCCTGTGGTGTTGGGTCCTCGTTTGAAGAAACGGTCCCCGCGTTCCTTCTTCCTCCTTCTCCTCGCCCTCCTCCCTCCTGCGTTCGCATGCCTCCCCACCACCCATTTCGGCACTCCCCTCACACGTTTCGTGGCCCCATAGGGAGCTCCACCGAAGGCCCCAGTGGCTGCGTTCGCATGCCTCCCCACCACCCATTTCGGCACACCCCTCACACGTTTCGTGGCCCCATAGGGAGCTCCACCGAAGGCCCCAGTGGCTGCGTTCGCATGCCTCCCCACCACCCATTTCGGCACACCCCTCACACGTTTCGTGGCCCCATAGGGAGCTCCACCGAAGGCCCCAGTGGCTGCGTTCGCATGCCTCCCCACCACCCATTTCGGCACACCCCTCACACGTTTCGTGGCCCCATAGGGAGCTCCACCGAAGGCCCCAGTGGCTGCGTTCGCATGCCTCCCCACCACCCATTTCGGCACACCCCTCACACGTTTCGTGGCCCCATAGGGAGCTCCACCGAAGGCCCCAGTGGCTGCGTTCGCATGCCTCCCCACCACCCATTTCGGCACACCCCTCACACGTTTCGTGGCCCCATAGGGAGCTCCACCGAAGGCCCCAGTGGCTGCGTTCGCATGCCTCCCCACCACCCATTTCGGCACACCCCTCACACGTTTCGTGGCCCCATAGGGAGCTCCACCGAAGGCCCCAGTGGCATGCCTCCCACCCCCATTTCGGCACACCCCTCACACGTTTCGTGGCCCCATAGGGAGCTCCACCGAAGCCCCAGTGGCTGCGTTCGCATGCCTCCCCACCCCATTTCGGCACACCCCTCACACGTTTCGTGGCCCCATAGGGAGCTCCACCGAAGGCCCCAGTGGCTGCGTCGCATGCCTCCCCACCACAGTTTCGTCCCACTCCACTCTTCGCATGCGGCACACCCTCACACGTTTCGTGGCCCCATAGGGAGCTCCACCGAAGGCCCCAGTGGCAGGCCCCAGCCCACACATTTCGGCACACCCCTTTCGTGGCCCCATAGGGAGCTCCACCGAAGGCCCCAGTGGCTGCGTTCGCATGCCTCCCCACCACCCATTCGGCACACCCCTCACACGTTTCGTGGCCCCATAGGGAGCTCCACCGAAGGCCCCAGTGGCTTCGCATGCCTTCTTCGTGGCCCCATAGGGAGCTCCACCGAAGGCCCCAGTGGCAGGGTTCGCATGCCTCCCACCACCCATCTCGGCATGGTGGCCCCATAGGGAGCTCCACCGAAGGCCCCAGTGGCTTTCGCATGCCTCCCCACCACCCATTCGGCACACCCCTCACACGTTTCGTGGCCCCATAGGGAGCTCCACCGAAGGCCCCAGTGGCAGGTTCGCATGCCTCCCCACCACCCATCTCGGCACACCCCTCACACGTTTCGTGGCCCCATAGGGAGCTCCACCGAAGGCCCCAGTGGCTGCGTTCGCATGCCTCCCCACAACCCATTCGGCACACCCCTCACACGTTTCGTGGCCCCATAGGGAGCTCCACCGAAGGCCCCAGTGGCTGCGTTCGCATGCGTCCCCACCACCCATTTCGGCACTCCCCACCACCCATTTCGGCACACCCCTCACACGTTTCGTGGCCCCATAGGGATCTCCACCGAATGTCGGGTGGAGCTTGACATTGGTATCCTTGCGGTACTCGCAGCTGCATATGGTTGGGTCCTTCGCCAGGCTAATTCAAACTGACTTGATTGCGGTGTTTTCCGAATCTTTTAATTGTAGAGGATCCTAGTGGCGGCGCCGTGGTGCCGCGGAAGTTTACCAGGAAAACAAGAAAAACAGGGCACAGGACAAATGCGGTGTTTTCGTTGGGAAAAGTCAGGAGCAACGGAGGAAACACTGTGACTATCAGCGTTCTTCTTGGTGCAACATTCACAGGTTGTCCTCAGCTTGTTCTCAGTTTTCATGTTTTCCTGGTAGGTTTCTGCGGCTCCACGGCGCTCTGGAAGAGAATTACAACGAACATCAGTTTTTAAATCGAGTGCAGCTTTAGTTTATTTGTTGTGATTTACACATCGAATTTGATGGTGGAGATGTATAATATTGATATGAATAGTGGAGATCTCAGTGACAGAGCCGTGGCACATCTGCACTTGCAAGATGTGAGCATGTGCAACGAACGGTACATGTAGGTAGACACACCGACAGAAGCATCTGGTTATAACCGCACGATCGGCGGGTCCTACGGGGGGGCGCTTCCCGCCCCTCCCCCGCACACCCCTTAGGAGGGGGTGGGGGGCGCTTCCGCGCTCCCCCATTTTGTAGATGCGCCATGGGTCTCCCGCCCCTCCCCCGCACACCCCTGGGGAAGGTGGGTGTGCGTTTTTTGGGTTTCGCAGATGCCCCCTGGGCCTCCCACCCCTCCCCCGCACACCCCTGGGGGGAGGGGGTGGGGGGGCGCTTCCCCCTTCGAAAATGCTCCCTGGGCCTCCCCCCCCTCCCCCCGCACAGCCCTGGGGAGGGGAGTTTTTTTTTTTTTTTTTTTTTTTTGTTTTCGCAGATGCTTCCTGGGCCTCCCGCCCCTCCCCCGCACTCCGTTCGGGGGGGTGGAAGCGTTTCTCTATTCGCAGATGCTCCATGGGCCTCCCACCCCTCACTCGCACTCCGTTGAAAGGGGGGGCTCCCCCTTTGCAGATGCTCCCTCCTCGGTGCCTCCTTCTTTCCCTCACTGCCTCCCTGGGCCTCCTCCTCCTCAGTGCCCACTTCCCTTTCTCTCCTCCCTGCTGCTCCTCCCTCCCGCGTAATTCTCGTTCTTCACGTCCTCCACGTCGTGGTCGTCCTTGTCGTCGTCGTCGTCGTCGTCGTCGTCGTCGTCGTCGTCGTCGTCGTCGTCCTTGTCGTGGTCTTCCTCGTCGTCGTCCTCGTCGTCGTCGTCATCTTCGTCGTCATCGTCGTCCTCGTCGTCGTCATCGTCGTCGTCCGCCTCCTCCCCCTCCCCCTCCCGCCTCTCGCTTGCGTAGCCATGTTGGCTCAAGTTCCGAGAGGGTGCGGGAGCTGCCCCCTATCTCGACCTTGCGCGCTCTTCTGCGCAGGATTCGGGCGCCAGCGTTCTCATTCTCAGCGATGGCCGGGATGATTGCCAGGTCTGCGCTTCGCGTGCAGCGTGGGCGTCCAGTTGCCGGCAACCTCGCTACGACGCGCGCGCTGGCACCTGCTGCGCTGGTTTTGCCAGCTGCTGTTCAGCAGCGGAACATCCAGACGAGTGCCGTGCGCCGTAACACTGCCGTGAATCCTGGGTGGCCGGTCATGTACGCCATCATCTATGACAAACCCGGCTGGGATCCCGAGCTGGAGCTCGAATACGACGTGATGCCCCGCGACGAGTTCGGCGTGCCAGCGCACATCCCCCCGGAGCTGTCAACCACCATCCGCCACACATATTACATCCCGCCGCAGTACTACCCCTTCCTGAAGAAGCTTGGTGACGACACCCCAGAGCTGAGGCCGTACATGGACAAGCTGATGAACGGCGAGATGACCTTTGACGACTACGAGGAGATGTTCTACAAGTTTGCGAAGCCCCTGAAGATCCACCGCCCCGTTCTCCCCATGCCTTACCGTACGGCCGAGGAGATCCCGCGCACGCCAGAGATCGAGTGGGAGGGTGCGTGGCTGTCGTTCCGTCAGCGCGTGATGGGGGACTACATGTCGCGCCTCTACCTCCGCGAGTTCATCGGCGGGATGGGTCTCGGCCTCTTCTTCGCGTTTATCTACATCCAGGGCCACCGGCAGTACCGCGTCGACATGAAGCTCTTCTATCCAGCTGCCTGCGGCACGTTCCGCTCTCGTGCCGGCCCGGCATTCTGAGTGGAGGCAGTTGATTCGAGGGTGGTAGCGCCGCGATGATGGTGATGATAACGATGCTGCTGCTGATGGTGACGTCGATGATGAGGAGGATGAGGACGAGGCAGAGCAGCAGCAGAAGGAGGAGGATTAGGAGGAGGATGCGGATGCAGATGAGGATGAGGATGAGGATGGGTGTGGTGGTGATGGTGATGGTGATGGGGATGACGGTGATTACGATGATGCTACTACTATTAACGATGTTGCTGCTGCTGATCATGATGGTGATGATGAGGATCATGATGGTGATGTTTATGGAGATGATATGAGGACGAAGGCGATGATGATGATGATGATGATGATGATGATGATGATGATGATGATGATGATTATGCTGGTGTTGCTGATTATGATGATGCTGCTGCTGACGACGATGATGCTGATGGTGATTGTGATGATGATGATGATGATGATGATGATGATGATGATGCTGGCGGTGGTGGTGATGGTGGCGGTGATGATGCTGCTGCTGATGCTGAGTATCGTGATGCTGATGATGCTGATGTGATGTTGATGATGATGTTGGTGATGATGCCGCTGCTGCTGATGATAGTGGTGGTGGTTATTACGATGATGATGGTGATGATGATGATGATGATGATGATGATAGTGCTGTTGCTGATGATGATGATGACTATGATGCTGATGGCGTTTATGCTGATGACGATACAGGGGTAATAACTATTCTAATGAGGATAATGGTGATAGTGATGATGAAGCTGATGATGAACAGGACGATGATGATGATGATGATGATGATGATGATGATGATGATGATGATGATGATGATGATGATGATGATTATGATGATACTTGCGATGAGGACGATGACGATGACGATGACGATAATGATGACGACGATGATGACGACGATGATGATGATGATGATGCTCATGATGAGGATAAACATGATGAGGATCTTTTTTATTGTGATGATGGTGATGATGTTGCTGCCCCCGACCACGACGAAGC